TGTCCCCCTCACCAATCCCTGTGTCTGCAGCCCGCCTCCAGACTGACCAAGGTGGGCTGTAGCCAGAGGCTGGGCCCTGCATTACCCAGGAGTCAGAAGGATTAGCCCCTGCCCGGACTTGGCAGCTGGCGTTGCCACAGCACTGGTGTTTCTGTATTCTCCCTTGTGGAGAATCTTTTTTGAAAAAAAAAAGGATTAGCCTCAGAGGCACCTGCACAGGCAGCACCTCCACCTGCACCTGTGCTAGCTGGATGGCCCCGGGGGTGCCCAGAGCTGGAGTTCATTCCTGCAGGACAGGATGGATGGGCCCTGCGAGGCGGAGTCCTGAGAGATTAAGTGGGCACTCAGTGTGGCCATTTCAGCAACTTCCTGGGCCGCTGTGCCTGCCAGAAGCCTCCACAGCATGAGGAAAGCGCTGCCCAGCCTCAGCCTCTGCCTCCAGGGCCACCTGCTGCCTGCAAGGTGGTGGCTCTGAGCTCAGCCTGGATTAGGGAACAGTCCCCCTGAGAACCTACTCGGACATTTCTGAAATCACCCTCGCCCCCAGCCACATGTCTTCCACCCCACTCAGGCCAGCAGCCCTGCCTCTTTGGGCTGAGCTGGGAACTGAAGTCACCAGTGCCACCCTTGTCGCTATCTGCAGTCACTACTGTGTGCTTATTTTAATAGATTTTATAGTCAGCACATTGAACCCAAGAGCTCGCCACTGTTACGGTGAGGATAAATGCTAATGTTAACCTGTGTGTTGGCATGGGGAACGTGAGCAAGTGAGCGGCACAGGGAATGCAGAACTGGGAAATGTCCCAGTGCTGCTTCCGTGGCTCTGAGACTGAGCCGGGGACGCGGAGTTGAGTGCCGGTGAGCCAGCGCTCTGCAGAGCACACGTGTGCACACGACTCGATCCTCTCCTGGCCGAGGGTCTTCCCAGGCTGAGCCTCAGAACCACCAGGGCTGCCGGGCGCTGGGGAGGCCCCTCCCCTGGATGTCAAAGGCGGGGACAGGTGTCCAGATCCCATCTGACCAGCAAGGGCCTGCGCCAGTGTGGAGACTCTGCCCTCAGAGGCAAGGTCTCACGCGTTTCTGCAAAGCTGTCTCATAGGGCACAGGCTTTGTGTCTTTGCTCCTTGGATGCCTTGAATGTCTCTCAGGAGGGGATCCGAGAGGCCCTGCCCTTTCGAGTGCCCAGGGTCGCATCCCAGGCAGCAGGGCCTGGCCTCTAGGGCCTGTGATGTGAGCAGCTGACTCTCTGCGCTGGGTCTCTCTCTCCCCAGCCCCTCTGTGGAGACCTCTTCCCCAAGTCAGAAAGAGGCACCCTGCACCTGTCTTGAGAAGATGGCTCGAAGCCCAGTATCAGGAGAAGTCTGCAGGAAGGGCTGCTCAGTCCTAAACCCCATGCTCCAGCTGGGTCAGAATGCAGGGTGGGCTCTCTCCAAGCCTCAGCTTCCCCTTCTGTGAAATACAGATAACAGCAAAACTGCTTTGCAAGAGAAGACTTTTATTGTTCTCACCACATAAGTGATAAATGTTAAACAGGCATGCCGATTAACCCAACTTGATCCTCACACAGTGTATCACATTGTACCCGACAAATGTGTACAATTACTTAGTATGAATCATCCTACAAATAGCAAAAACAGGAACAACAAAATGTAAAATGTGTATAGTAAAAACTAGATTTGATTGGGGAAAGAAGGCAAAGAAGACTGAAAGGAATGGTCCAATACCCCAAGTTCATGGCTGTGGGGCAGTACTGGTAAGAAAGCAATATCCCCTCCCCAGGTCATCTGTAGATTTAACAAACCTTTTGTAAAAGTCTTGGCTGACAAGGTGATCCTAAAGTTCGTATGAAAATTCAAGAGACAGAGAATAACCAAGATAACCTCAGATTGGAACAAAACTTTTTCATTTGAAAACCACAAAATTATAGTAATCAGAACAGTGGTTTTTGCCTTACGGATAAACATATACTCTAATGGATGTAACTGAGAGTTTACCAATGAATCAGGGAGCTGTGCATGTCACATGGGCAGGTGGAATGGAATATCCCTTACATCACGGTAAACCTGTATATATGTTTAAAACGCTTTGCAGCAAAAGCTGGCTGGGATAGCACCTGCCCAGGTAGGTGAGGCCAGCCTGCACTGCAGAGCAAGACCCTGTTTCAAACCAGCACAGATCTCTGCGGCAAGCTGAGAGGGGAGTAGAGTCGTGCATGAGTCCACAGTCCCTGTGTCGGCTGTGGATAAAGACCCCACTGTCCCAGAGCTGTGGCCAGGAAAGGACAGCCCAGAAATCTGTGTGGAGCCAGTGGGCAGTGGCAGTGGTGAGGGGTCCTCGCGCACACATCTTCCCGCCTCTGACAAGGGCCCTTTCTCCATCTGCTCAGCCTTTCCAAGGGAAGTCAGAGCCAACAGTACCCTTCTTTGTTCTGCGTGACACTGATGATTTCGTCTCCCGTTCTTCCCAGAAAAGATGACTCTGAGTACTCAGTGCTGCTCTTGCTTGTTGGAGTTATTTTCAGGTCCAGCTCAGGGCCCAGTGCCCTGGCTTCCTGTGGGTGCTCCGAGTGTCTCTGAGCCTTGCCCGCGGGACATTGTGGCCACCTGCCCTGGCCTCACTCCTGGGCTCCCTGATGGCGGCCACAGTAGGACTTGCAGGGGCCCCCATGTCAGGTCTCCATACAGGTGCATCAAGTTCCACGTCACCATTCGTGCAGGACAGTGCAGATTTTAATTCAGTTCTTTAAATTCCCATGACTGGAGGAGAAATTAAATTCTTTTTTTCCCAGCTTATTTCTTACTTAAGATTTTCTAGATCCCTGACGGACATCTCTAGCTGGAGTGACTTCCGTGGCTGCTTCTGCCTATTCAGCTGTGGTTAGAGTGATAGCCTGGCGTCCAGGGTTTCCTGAGGCCCAGGACCGCTGCTTCAGTGTCCCTCCTTGTGCCCTGTTATGGCTTGTGTATAGCTGCCCCCGCCTGAGCCTGCTGTGGATGAGGTGGGACGCTCCTTTTCAGAGGGGTTGAATCTGGAGTGTGTGATGCTAGGGTGAAGGGTGTGTGATTACTGAAGCTACACCTGAGTGATCCGTTTGGATGCCCTAATCCCAGTAGTCTGGATGGGATAAAAGAGGCAGACTCGGTGAAGGCCCTCTGTTACCTTTGCTTCCTCATGCACACCGTGTTGTTTCTCCCCTGCCATGCCTGTTTGCCATCCCTGCCTTGGAGCCAGTCCACCATGCACTGAGACCTGTAGGAAGTATAAGCCAAATAACCCCTTCCCCTCTGACCTGGGTGTCAGCTATTTTGTGTCAGCAACGAGAGAAAACACACGTCCCAAGCCCAGCAGCCACAGAGCATTTAGCCAGGAAGCGAGTGGCGGTGATGAGTCAGTGAGCTGGTGCTCTCCCTGGGGTGGGCAGTCCCACTCCGCCCCATGGGTGGCACCAGGCAGGAACGAAGGCCCAGTGTGGTGAGTTCTTCCAAGCTTCCCAGGGAAGGCAGACAGGCTGATGGTCGTCATAGTCCCCACTGGGTAAATAAGGTCAGCAGGTTCACAGCGAAGAAGCCAAACAGGATGCCCAAGCTACTGTGTGCCGACCTCAGGTGACCCAGCTGGCCTGACCAGCAGGATGCGCTTGGCAGGTACCCACAGAACAGGTGCAGGGCCAAAGGCTGAGTGGGACATCCTTGCCCCAGATGAGCAGACGCAGGTTAGCCAGGGTGAGCGGCCCTGCTGGGCTTCCCAGGACGGGTATGTGTTGAATATGGGGGCCTCTGCCAGGCAGCCTGGCAGGAAGGGGCAGCCCGAGAAAGGGCAGGGCTTGTGCAGAGGCATCAAGGTGGGAAGAGTCCCAAGAAGCTGGAAGTGAATATTTGTGGGTCTGTGGGACAGCCAGGAGTGGGGAGGCCACCATGGTGGGCAGCCAGGTGCAGGGAGCAAGACTGATGATGCAGGGTTCTGGAGACAGAGGTTGGACATGGCTGTTGGCTGACTGGTGGGGACTCCTGCCCCTCCCTCAGCCGCCTCCCCATCCCAGGCTGCAGGCACACCCAGCCCGGCCCAGAGTCTGGGCTCAGGGCCACTCGGGGCGCTGTCGAGGGTGGGCAAGCTTCCCAGAGGCAGCACCTCAGGAACAGGGCTGCCGGGAGACCCTCGGGTCTTTGGATGTGGCGCGCACCAGAGCCTGGGGGCTCGGACGCCCGGCAGCTGCCTCCTCCCTGCTCTGTCACAGCAAAGCTGGCACTCCTTTGCTGAGGCGAATGGCGTGGGATTGGCAGGACAGAACCACAGCCAAGGACAGCCACCCACCTGGCCCCAGGGGACCGCCACACTTCCCGGATGTGGAAACTGAGGCCCAGAAAAGTGATGGTGCATCCTGCAGGCTCACTCGCGTCCTGCCCTGGAAGCAGGTCCCTGAGCCTCCCGAGACCAGGCTTATCAACAGCTCCACCGTCTAGAGAGGGAAACAACGTGTTTATTTTTACAAAATGCTTCTGTTGAAGGCGCCTAAGAGGTGCTCGTCAGGAGGTGTGGGTGACTCATGCAGACACTTGGAGATGCAATTGACTTTTTACCCCAGATTCTGGGGAGGCAGAAAGGGCACTGTCCCTGCAGGGTCCCCATCACGACGGCAGCGGCAGGGCAGGATAGGCCCCACAGTGAAGCCTGGCACAGTGGACTCTCCCTGAGCTGTGTCCCGACCGCCCACCCACAGGCCCCTAGGTGGCTCAGAGTGGCTGGGTGCGGTAAGCTGCAGGCTGTCTGTCCTCTCGTGGGTGTGTTGAGGCCCCAGGGACCCTGGTCCTTGTTGACGGCCTCTTCCTACCAGTCCTTGGGGCCACATATGGCCCTGCCCCCAGGGTGTAGCTCCCCTTCACCCTTCAACCAAGGCTGAGGCTTCTTCCCAGATTCACAGCAGCAAGAAGCCCAGAGGCTGGAGCTTGAGGATGCAAACCAAATATAATCTGGCACACCTCATCTGGGGAGGATCCTGGGTTGTGCCCGGGTCTCTGCTTGGGCAGTGTCTCTCTCGGTGTCTCTGCTGCCTCTATTCCTTGGAGCAGCTCTGAGGTGTCCTTTCTCCCAGGTCATCGTGGGGCAGGAGGCCTCACACGCCACAACCTGAGGACAGGGCAGCAGCAGAGGGAGCCCATTGGCTACAGCACTGAGCCATTCTTGAGGTGGCAGGAGGTAGGTGGCCAGGTGGGCAGGGTAAGCTGAGGTTGGGCCCGGTACAGTAGAGAGGGTGAGGAAAGCACCTCGGGAACAGGGGCTCCAGACGGCGGCCTTGGGGCCACAGAGCTTGGAAGGTGTGGGGGAGAGGGGCCTGGGCAGCTGACCTGTGAAGTCCCCGTAGCACAGAGTCCCGCCACGGGTGGTGGCCCAGGGAGCAAAATCCTTTCATCCCTGGGCACTGGCTGCTTCCCAGGACTCAGTGGCAAATGTGATTCAGCACAGGCAGCTATTCTTTCTCCGTGGTGAATAAGGCACTTGTTTTTGCTCGCCAGACAGGCTGCTCACCCTCCCACAGCTGCCGTGCAGCCGGCCAGCCCATGCATAGACACAGTCTTGTCACTGCTGCCACCCTCAGCTGCCGGCCAGAAACGCTCAGCCTTCTCTCTCCCCGGCGCCCAGGTCCTCCATCTGCTGCCGTGTGCAGCCCTGTCCCGTGATTGCCATCCACTCGTTCGAAAGCACTTGCCAAGTCCTGTTCTAGGTGCTGCGGTGCAGCCAGGAGCAGGGGCAAGGTGGTACCCAGGGGACTTCACAGACTTTCACCTCATGTTCTGAAAATGCCACTGGGAAAATGAAACAAGGTCCTGGTGGAGAAGGACTGGGTGAAGAGTCCGTGTGGCCCAGCGGGCAGGAAAGGGGAAGAGCGGGCGCGGAGAGCAGGGAAAGACCTGGGACCTGCACAGAAACGAACGGAGCACCAAGGCCATTGTTCCTGACGATAAGGACTGAAAAGGGGACCCTGCACGCGTGCAGGCACAGAGCAGTGGGAGAGTGTCAGAAGCGGGTAGAGCCCAGGAGGTGGAAGCTTTCGGCTGGCAGAAGGCAGGGCAGGCTCCAGGCGAGTGCCGGCGCCGTGCTGGGTAGGAGCACGGCAGCCTCTCCGCTCTGCGCAGCCTCCTTACCCCAAGCGGAGGCTCAGGCGAAGGCGCCTGCCCGCTTTCTGCTTCCCTTCGCAGGCCGCCGCCTCCCCTCTCTGCTCCCTCCGCCCCGACACCGCGCAGTGACCTCTGAGAGCCACGGGTGCCTGCAGTGTCCTCCACATTGTGAAAGCTTCTTCCGGGAGACACTGGGGCTGGGGCAGCAGGTGTGAGTGGTTCTAAAGCCGAAGAGACACCCGAGTCTTCATCCATGTCCTGCTGCTATAACAAAAAACCTGAGTCTGGGTGATTTTTAAAGAATGAGAATGCATTTGGCTCTCATTGGCTCTCATTGGCTCTCATTGGGTGTCGGCATCTGCCCGGCATTGGTGAGGCCTGCTTGCTGCACTGTATGCAGGTGGGGGCATCATATGGTGAGAGCGAGCGCCAGTCTGCCCTCTGTCCGCCGCTGAGAAAGCCATTGGGGGCCACGACCTAATTTCCAGGTGCCTGGGAACAGAGGTAAAGCAGTGTGGGGGCCCCAGAAGCCAGCTGCTCGTGGAAGGTGCCGTCTTGACTAAGGCTCATCCCCTCCGAGACTTGTGCTAAGGTTTAGCCCCTTCCTGGGAGGCTAAGGCAGGACCAGGAGAGCCTTCAGAGGCGGCAGGGTCTCTGCCTGCGTGGATGGCTCCATCCGTTCTCTGCAGTCACGGAGTACACTGCATGTTACTGGGCTGACCTGAGAGTGAGTCCACCTTGAAAACCATCGGGTAGGTGGGGGATGCTGGCTCACCAGAGGGTCTGCCTCCACGTTCCATAGCAGACGGCCTTGGGGAATATGTTTCATGCATGTGAACTGGGGTACACACAGCAGCCACGCGGTCTGACTTAGTGGTGAATGGCCTGTTTGGGGTACAGCAATCAGGTAATTGTCATCTTCTTTACTATTTTTCATAAAGTCACATTTATTTAAATCCATTTTACAACGAAATTTTGCGTTTCTACTTAAGTCATGGGTGTGAATTCTCATAAATAGAAAACAACCATAAAAGTTAATGTAATGAAACGAACATTCTTCATTTAAATAGAATAAAGTTGTGTGTGTGTGTGTGTGTGTGTGTGTGTGTGTGTTTATACTGGGGATCAAATAAATTCAGGACCTTGTGCTTGCGAGGCAGGCGGCGGCACCACTGAGTTGAATCCCCAGCCCTAAATAGAATAAAGTTATAACATAAATATGAATAGCAGCTTTCTGCTTCTTAGATGGTGTAAGCATATTGCACTCAATCTCTCCCACTAACTGGAGCTTAAAATATGATGGAATGCATGGAGACCTTCCAAAATCAAATAATACCAGGCAGACTGGAAAAGAAAAGTGGGATTTAGCTGGGGATTTAGCTCAGTGGTTCTGCCACCTGCCTCACAAGCTCAAGGACCCAAGTTCAATCTTTGGTACAAAAAAATAAAAAAGAAAAGCAGAATTTGAAGTACAACCAGACTGGCACTGTTCACTGTTCTTCCTCCCCTGGTGGGACCCATCCTGGGCTAGAATGGCCTGAAACAACTGTCTGGGTCAGCAGCACTCACAGAAAGTCCCAGGAAAGCCCTGTGCTTCTGGCTTCAGGAACAGAGCAGGGGTCAGATCATTGCTCAGAAAGAGTGGACAAAATCTCTAAAAATCTTGCCCCACTGGACATAGCGGTACAAACCTGTATTCCCACTTATATGGAGGCTGAGTAAGGAGGATTGCAAGTTCAAGGCCATCCTGGGCAACTTAGTGAGAACTTATTTCTAAATTTAAAAGGGCTTGGGTGTAGCATAGTAATAGAGCACTTGCCTGGCATGTATGAGACCCTGGGTTTAGTCCCCAGTACCACCAAAACAAATGAAAAAAAAAACCCCAAAAGTCTTTTCTTGATCTCTCACAAGCTATCCTTGGGAGCATCGAGTGGGTTCTCTAAGAACCTAAAACTCAGGGAGGGGAAACAGTCTGTGTGGAGCAGCTGCTGTCCCAGAGAAGGTAGCCTGAACTCACTGCTTTTCTCTGTCCTCTGCTGCTTGGCCCTGGCTGCAGGGAAACGCACAATAGAATGGGCTGAATGAAGCCTTACTTTTCTGGCTGGAAAATGAGACAGGGAGTTCCAAGAAACTGGAAAGTACTGTAGAGCGTGCACAAAGGGAGGAATATGGAAAAGCAATGCCATCGAGCTGTTCATTAACTCCGGGGCTTGTCCTCGAGGTCCGTGAGTGTGTATCTGACCGTGCACAGTGCGCCAAAGGCTTTGATAACAGAAATGAAAAACAGACCTATGCTCAAATCTCAGACTGGTTACAAAGTAACACACACATTTAAGTTCCAGTTCATTGGCTTTGAAGGTGGATTTAACATTGAAACCATAATCCATAGAAGCCAGGTCAGAACTTTTGGTTTGCGCTCAACAAGATCAATTCCCTCCTAAATATTCTCCACAGGATTTAAACAAGACCCAGGATTCCATAACATACTATTCAAAATATGTAGGGCACCACTCAGAATTACCTGAAGAAGTAGAAGATCTCCATTCACACAGGGGAAGGTAATGAACAGGTGCCGACACTAAGATGGAGCAGATGTTGGGGCTATGATAGAGGCTCTAAAGCAGCTATTATAAAAATGCTCCATCAAGTAAAGGCAAATGCTCTCCAACCAAATGGAAAGCTAGAGATTCTCAGCAAAGCTATAAAGAAGAAATAAATACACATTTTTAAGAACTAAAAATACAATATGCAAAAATGTAAGCTCATGGGCCAGGGATTTAGCTCAGTGGTTCGATGGCCCTCCTTGCAAGCACAAGGACCCGAGTTCCATCCCTGGTACCAAAAAAAATAAAAATGTAAGCTCACTATAGACTCAGCCATAGAATGAACATGACAGGGAAATTATCCAGTCTGAACCACAGAGGCAGTGAAAGAAAAGTTAAAGCCTTAGGCTTTTGTGGGACAATAGCAAAAGCTCTAACATTTATGTCACCGGAGTTCAAAAAAAGGCATGAGAAAGGATACAGCATTTAAAAATATTTGAAGAAATAATGCCTGGAAATTTCCCAGTTTGGTCAAAGAAGTGAACCAACATATACAAGAGCCGCAAAACAAGATGAATTTTAACCAGCATATGACAAATTCATGGCCAGATATTCCATAATCACGTGGTCGTAGCAATCAGTCACTGCCAAAGTTTGGGTCTTCATCGTTCTCCAAAGACCCATGTGTCCTGGGCTTGTCCCCTAAGTGGCACTATTGGAAGGGCCTGTGGGAAGAGAGGGCCCTTCTTTGCCTGTCTTTTCCTCCCTGTCACGAGGAGCAGTTTTGCTACACCCTGCTTTCCACTACAATGCACTGCCTCACCACAGGCCTGAAAGGAGAGTCCACCAGTCTTGGGCCGGAACCTCTGAAATTGAGCCAGAATAAGCCACTTCTCTTTATAGGTTTATTACCTCTAGTATTTGTTATAGTGGTAGAAAGTGAACACAGTCAGTAAAGCCCTATAACAAAATTTAGCATCCGTTTTTTATAAAAGCTCTAGCCAAGTGTAGAAGTGAGACCTAACCTAATCCTGGGCCTATCTGCAAAACCTACTGCTGATACTGTACTCAATGGTGAAAACTGACTACGTCCCCCTAAGATCAGATGTAAATCAAGGATGTTCGCCTTCCTACTCAATATCCTCCTAGAAATTCTAGCTAGTGCAGTAGGCAAGAAAATAAGACTTACAGCTTAGAATGAAGAAGTTGTCCTGTTTTCAGATCTTACCATGATTGTACAGAAAAATCCCAAGGGGAAAAAAACCCCAGCCACGATTAATGCATGTGTTTAGCAAGATCACAGGATACCAGCCCAATAGTTAATGTGTTTTACTCAAAATGTAATCAATATCACATGGTTCTAATTTAGCAATGAATATTTAATTTAGCAATGATAAATGTAGCTATGTGCACAATCGGTATGCTATTAACTGTGAAACTCTAATGAAAAAAATAAAACCACAAGTAATTGGAGAGACATACTGTGTTCATTGGAAGACTCAGCAAATGGAGCTACAGAATTAATGTGATTCTGACC